TTCTGAGAAGAACAAGATTTTCTCACGAGAGCATTCCAGCATTCCTCTTCGCCTCTACTATCCATTCTAGACTTCTCATCTACCTCTACGCGAGCTTGTCCACCCCCGTCTCTACCTTAAGCTGAATTTACTCGCAAATAACCGAGTTTACGGCGCCTGTAACTTGGTTTTAGTCTCGCTTGGAGCTGAGTTAGTGCTGCCTCGGGTCCAACCTTGCACCAGGAGGGAATGGGTCGGGATTTGGTGGTGTAGGCGGCAGTGGGCGTGAAAGGCCTGGTCGCCGCGCTGGCCGCCTGCTGTTAACATCGCCGACACGAAGGCTCGTGACTCTACACTCCCTCCTAAAATACGGTACTGCTTTTGTGTATTGTTTCTGGTGATGAGACTGGTGATGCCGGCTATGGGAACCGACCTGTGAGATTTATATTTATTTAATTTATGTAGAATTTATATTTACGTTAATTTATATATTTCGATAGGAATTTGTATGATGTTTAGTGGACTGTATTTCTGCAATATTCTCACAAATCGATCCTTACACATTAGGGGGGGTTATATTAAATTTATATATATGCAGCCAATCAAACTACAGTATTAAACTACATATTAATGAATAAATGATGAGGCCTTATCTTATTGTACAGCAGGCTTAGTCCACCAGGTATAACTAGGATGTAGACACCAAATAGTCCTCGTGTGAGGCTAGCTTATGACACCCCTGGTTACTGATATACCAAGATTAATTCTTGTTTCCTCTTCTTGTTCCAGTCAAAGGGCACTAGCTGTAAAGCCGGAATCCTAATATATGACAGCTATATTAGATGAAACATTTATATGTTATTAGGTAAGGACCAAGGACTAATTACTTGTGTTTAGTGGCTTGTCTAATGCCCTAACTGGTTTGCCCTATATCTACTTAACATTAACTGGCCAGAAATTATTAGAAAAACGGGTTTCGGTAAGACACTTTCCTTGTTTAGATGTTGACTGCGTGTTGATGATGGAAGAAGCACTAATTTGATCTCCATAACACTTAGTCCAAAGGAGAATTATAGGAGCTGAATATGCTCCTGCCACTATGGTTTTAATCAATGGCTGACCTCCCTCACCACTGACTCCTTGGCTCTCTTTGTCCAGATGTCAATAAGTGATGGAAGGGTCACATTTACTCTATTTTGGTACTTATAATTAAGTTAATTCAAATCAGATGTTTTTATGATCTAATAAGTCCAATGACTAATGTATTTAAGAATAATTCCCAACAGAATAGCTGGTAAATTTATAGCACTATGTGGCAATGACATCCCATTTTCTATTGATGGAAAATTCCACTACAAGCTACATTTTCTATGGGTCAAATTGTGTATACAATAGCAGCAATATTATCCGCCTATTGTATTTAATATTAGTAAAAGGTGTCAGATTTTCCGACACCGGCCCTTGTGCTAAAGTGACCCTTCCGTTGGTGGTGGTGTTATTGTTGGTGGTAGAGCATCCGTTGGTGGTGGTGGTGCTATTGTTGGTTGTGGAGCGTCCATTGGTGGTGGCATTATTATTGGTTGTGGAGTGTCCGTTGGTGGTGGAACGTCCCATGGTAGTGGTGGTGCTATTGCTGGTGGTGGAGCGTCCGTTGGTGGTGGTGCTATTGTTGGTTGTGGAGCACTCGTTAGTGGTGGTGTAATTGCTGGCCGTGGAGCGTCCGTTGGTGGTGGTTCTATTGCTGGTGGTTGAGCGTCCATTGGTGGTGGTGGTGCAATTGCTGGTGGTGGAGCATCGGGAAAGGTGGTGTTATCGGAGGTGCAGCGTATGTTGGTGGTTCAGCGTCCGTTAGTGGTTGTGCTGGTGGTGGCACGTCCGTTGTTGGTATGGTATTCCTGGTGGTTATCAGGGAAGTATTTTTAAAAACTTAGCTTTACTTTACTTTATTTTACTTATCTTCTCTCTTTAACTTAATTTTCTGACGAACAGACCCCTAACACTTCCCTGATAATATAAGATTAACCATGGCAGCTACTACTTATTGCTGCTCCTGTCAATCAATCAGCAATGTACACCGGAGTGCATATAGAAGGTTCACCCTGAAATCGTCTTTTCACAGAGAGGAGGATTCAACGTCACATTTACTTGGGGAAAAGGTTCCAATCTGGCCTATTTGTCATGAATGCACACCTTGTCGAACCGCCGTGACGCGCCCACACTCTCCTTGTTTTTAGGATGATCTTCTAATTCCCCTTCATGTTATTACTGTCCATTGTCAACCAACTTACAGCCGCATCATTCTCTCTTCCTAGAAATCCTCACCAGGACATGAACAAAATTCAGTTGTCTACAGACATTTATTACATGAAAATACACAGAAGGAATAAGTACAATATTACAGTACATAGGTTTCTACAAACCAGCAATTAGAAGTATAATATGAGTTCTTCACCAAATAAACTGCACTAGGCTGCTGCTCAATTTTTCGCCCTCAGCCTCTAGCATTCTCACTGCTTGGGGCTAGGTAACTTGCATATTAACAATATCTCCAACACTAAAATACAAACTTTCTCACCGTACATTGCGTCACTCACGCCCTATGAATTCAAGCACTCATTCATACATACCATGGTGTCCATACTATTTATTCTCCGTACCACGTCCTGAGGCCCACCACTAAGAACATCTGTTTCTGGGTCCTCGAAATCAAAAGGTACTCCAGCAGTCTCTTTAATATTTGCTGCAACTTCAAGTCCAACTCAGTGCCTGTGAAGTTCCTCTATGCGGCTTTGCAAAAAAACGTGTATCCAAACTACACTCGAAGTTCCACTTTACCACTGAAGTTCCACTTTATACTTGAAGTTCAGCTCCACACTTGAAGTTCTACTCCATAAATCTTCACCATGTTACGTACCCCTAATAGATACGTAAGTAAATATATTAATATGTACATTTATAATTGTATGTAAATTACAAGCATGTATATTGATATACTTATATGTTCTATGCAAACGTACATTCATGTTACAGTGTTGGCGTTAGGCCCAACGTATCGTGGGAATGATTGTTTATTTCTTTGTGTGATCAGTTTTCCCACGGGAACTAATGATTTATATGTGATCATATGTGGGTAACAGAGGTGAATAATAATTGAGTGAACTGTATCTGGCAAATTGTCGTGGGATCGTCCGTTGCTGGGTGTGCATGCCATTATTCCTTTCTGTATGCATATTTTAATTACTATGTAAAGAAGTACTTACTTTATTTGTGTATATCAATATGTATTAATTATTCATTAAGTTAGTTTAAGATTACTCTTGTCACAATGTATTGCTCCATTGTTGAAATAATAAATATTGTACTTTGGCAATTTATTCGCAGGGCAAGGCAATCTGTTTTGATTCCCGCGTTATTTTATTCAGTAGCTGATCGGGAACCAGGGAGATAACATCTTGGAGTTAAGTTATACATTTTTGTTCTGTCATAGCCATACATATTATGATTTTAATTTAATGTCTGGAAGATACAGTGATATTTTTAATGTGATATATTGTGACCATATAATCATCTGTTTGCTATTGAGATTTATTTAATATATATATATATAATATTGTTGTATCTATTCTTCAGTCCTAAGGAAGATTTTATTTTTGTGCTCATTACTTATCAAGGGGTTATACTGGTGATTCGCTATTGAGAACAGCTGTTGTGTCGTATCCCTAGACGTAATTAAAGTTGGCTGCTGTAGGATCACGAGCCGTAACGTACGATAGGTAACACACCAGACACGAAGCTCTTCCACGAAATTCTCCCCACAAGAACCTGTAATTCCATTACTATGCCATAATAACTTGTTCTCCTTATAAAAAATAAATAACATATATTTACACATAAACTGCATTAACTGATGTCACCTTCCATGTGTCGGACCTGCCGTGGTGAGTACTTCCCCATTTTTGGACGAGTCCACACTGAATTTCCGACGGGACTACATTGGCTCTGGTTCGTCAGTCACTTACTGACCTCCAACGAGCAAGCATATGTTGCTCTTGCCCCAATCATGTTATATCATCTCTAACTCACTATATACTCTCAATATCTTCATAAAATGTCTAACCTATATCAACTAACGTTCTTAATGATCGCTGGGCACACAATCAAGCACTTACAAGCAATACATCATATGATAAAGAGCTCTTACCACAGAAATAATGCTGCGGCGACGCTTGCCCACTGGCGCTCCAAAATGACGTTACTCCTGGTCGTCCACCAAACCCTCGAGGACTGTCTCTAAATGTTTTTCACATTCCCAACTTGAGTACACGAAGTCACCTGGCAGGTTTCACACAGATACGCTTGCTCAATTTTCTCCACTCAAAGAATATTTCACAGGAGGGTCCACACAGGACACGACCACCATATATAGGCTTCAGGCCGCCACTAATATTGTTCACCATCACAGAGAAATGACATACGCCGTCCTCAACAGCGTCCACACCAGTTGTACTCTGTAGCCTTCATTCAAACACTTTACCTAGAACTATAATCATCTTTTACCCTACGATGGCACTGATGTACGTCTTTCCCTGGCGACTCTCGCAACTCAAGTGCTTCTTTACGACCTCCATAATGTCGACATCTTACTTTGTTTCCACAAGATGCTTGCACCTATTCAGTCGTAATTCACTGACGTTTGCTTAATTACTTTCTTCCCCTGACTCCTACCTCCGGTCAGATGGGTAGAATAACTCTCACAAGGCAGCCCTACCTCACAAGCAGACCTACCTCACAAGGCAGCCCTACCTCACAAGGCAGCCCTACCTCACAAGGCAGCCCTACCTCACAAGGCAGCCCTACCTCACAAGGCTGGCTACCTGAGGTTCATAACACGGTTAAGCGTCCGTTGGTGGTGGAGCGTCCGTTATTGGTGGTGTTATGGCTGGTGGTGGGTGTCCGTTATTGGTGGTGTTATGGCTGGTGGTGGGTGTCCGTTATTGGTGGTTATTGCTGGTGGTGGAGCGTCAAATAGTGGTGGTTTTATTGCTGGTGATAGATCTTCCGTTTGTGGTGTTGCTAGTGGTGGAGCGTTTGTTGCTGGTGGTGATTTTGATAGTGGTGGAGCGTCCGTTGGTGGTTGTGACATTGCTAGTGGTGGAGCGTCCGTTGGTGGTTGTGACATTGCTAGTGGTGGAGCGTCCGTTGGTGGTTGTGACGTTGCTAGTGGTGGAGCGTCCGTTGATGGTTGTGACGTTGCTAGTGGTGGAGCGTCCGTTGGTGGTTGTGACATTGCTAGTAGCGGAGCGTCCGTTGGTGGTTGTGACATTGCTAGTAGCGGAGCGTCCGTTGGTGGTTGTGACATTGCTAGTAGCGGAGCGTCCGTTGGTGGTTGTGACATTGCTAGTAGCGGAGCGTCCGTTGGTGGTTGTGACATTGCTAGTAGCGGAGCGTCCGTTGGTGGTTGTGACATTGCTAGTAGCGGAGCGTCCGTTGGTGGTTGTGACATTGCTAGTAGCGGAGCGTCCGTTGGTGGTTGTGACATTGCTAGTAGCGGAGCGTCCGTTGGTGGTTGTGACATTGCTAGTAGCGGAGCGTCCGTTGGTGGTTATGACATTGCTAGTAGCGGAGCGTCCGTTGGTGGTGGTGCTGTTGCTGAGGGTTGTAGTAACTACAGAAGGTGGCTGTAACGACTGAAGAAGATGTTTGTAGTGACTTCAAAATGTGGATGAGGTGACTTCAGAAGGTGGGTTAAGTAACTGCTTAAGATGTGTGTAGTGACAGCAGAAGGTGGGTGTAGAGACTTTATGTTGGTGTAGAGACTGTAGAAAATAGATGTAGAACCAATAGAAAATAGATATAGTGGCTGCATAAGATGGTTGTAGTGACGGCAGAATGTTGGTGCAGTGATTACAGAAGGTGTCTGCAGGGAATGCAGAAGAAGAGTGTAGTGACTGCTGAAGATAAGTGTAGTGACTGCTGAAGATAAGTGTAGTGACTGCTGAAGATAAGTGTAGTGAGTGTATAACTTGGCTATAGTGACTGAAGAAGGAGGGTGTAGTGACTGCAGAAGATGGCTGTAGTGACTGCAGAAGGTTTCTGTAGTGACTTCAGAAGGTTGATGTAGTGACTAAAGAAGACAGGTGAAGTGACTGCAGAAGACAGGTATAGTGACTGCAGAAGGTGGGTGTAGTGATCTCGTAAAGTGGTTGTAGTTATTTCGGAAGATCGGTGTAATGAATGCAAAAAGATAGGTTTAGTGACTGCAGATGATGGCTATTAGTGACTATAGAAGATGGGTGTACTTTTTGTAGAAGGTGGGAATTGTTCCTGCAGAAGGTGGGTGTAGTGACTACAAAGTAGGCGTCGTTTCTGCAAAAGGTGGTTGTAGTGCCCGCAGAAGGTACTGTAATACCAACAGAAAGCATTTCAAGATATAAAGAAAAAACATAAATGTTTCTTCACATATGCGAAATTAAAAGCGAACAACATTGCCAGTATTGAACCTATTCGTACGAGTGAAGGTTCATACACTGAGGATGAGAAAGCATTTAGTGAAATCCTAAAAAAGCAGAATGAGGACATGTTTAGCACTCCAGTAAACAGCATGAAAGTGGAAGATCCAAACAACGTATTTAATGCGTGATATCCAATCCCCGGCAAATATAACTGATAATCTTTTATTTATTTATATACAAGAAGGTACCAATATCAATACGAGCTTGGCAGATTTTGAAAGAGATATTGACAAGATGCCTATGCACTCAGCCCCGGGTCCAGACCAGGCACTCAGTATAATGTGGAGAAAGAGCTTGGACATGGGGGAGATACCAGATGCGTTTAAATCAGCAGACATACCTCCTCTACTCAAGGGAGGGAGCAAATCATTGTCAAAGAATTATAGACCAGTTGCACGAACGTCCCACATAATAAAAGTATTTGAGAGAGTGATCAGGAGTCAGGTCACCAGTTTCATGGAGACCAATGACCTCCACAACCCAGACCAACATGGATTTAGAGCGGGAAGATCATGCCTCTCACATTACTTGACCACTACGACAAAATCACTGAGGCATTAAACGAAAAAACAGAATGTAGATGTGGTATACACGAACTTCGCCAAAGGTATTTGATAAATGTGACCATGGAGTGATAGCACACAAAATGAGGTCAATAGGAATAACTGATAAAGTAGGACGGAGAATACTCAGTTTTCTCAACAGAACACAATGAATAACAGTCAATCACATAAAATCGAGTCCAAGAGCAGTTAAAAGCTTTGTACCTCAGGGCACAGTCCTTGCATTACTGCTTTTCCTTATTCTCATATCAGATAAGGACTCAAATACAAGTCACAGCTTCGTATCATCCTTTGCATATGACACAAAAATCAGCATGAAAATTACCTCTGCTAAATACATTGAAAAACTACAAGCAGATATTAATAAAGGTTTTGACTGGTCAGCAGAAAATACCATGAGGGTTAACAGTGATAAATTCCAGGTACTTAGGTACGGTAAAAATGAGGACCTTAAACATAATACAAGACACAAAACATCAAATCTGCCCATAGTAGGAAAGCAGCATGTAAAGTATCTGGGAATAATCAGTTCAGGAAAAGTCGTTCAGCACAATTGGAGAGGACAGCAGCAGGGGCACAAGGCTACAAAAGGACAGAGGACCGTCCCAAGGAGCATCACACTCCGGCAGCCGTCCACTAAGCCCCCCTCACGGCATCAACAACAACAGGGAGGGGAGAGTGATTGTAGAAGGTAGGGGTCGTTTCTGGAAAAGAGGGATGTAGTTGCTGCAGAAGCTGGCTATAGTGCCTGCAAAAAAAAGGATATAGTGGCTTAGAAGATGAGTGTAGTGAGTGCATAAATTGGCTGTAGTGACTGCAGCAAGTGGGTGTAGTAACTTTAGAAGGTTATCTCGAGGTTATCTTGAGTTGATTTTGGGACTTAGCGTCCCCGCGGCCCGGTCCTTGACCAGGCCTCCATTTTGTTACACACCCCGAGGAAGCAGCCCGTATCAGCTGTCTAACTCCCAGGTACCTATTTACTGCTAGGTAACAGGGGTATTAGGATGAAAGAAACATTTTGCCCATTTGTCTCCTCCTCCACCGGGGATCGAACCCGGGACCTGAGGAGTAGGAATCTGAAGCATTGTCCACCCAGCTGTCAGGCGTCACATTAGTGCTCACTGAAGGTGGGTTTAGTGACCGCAGATAGTGGGTATAGTGACCACAGATGGTGGGTATAGTGACCACAGATGGTGGGTGTAGTGACCACAGATGGTGGGTATAGTGACCACAGATGGTGGGTGTAGTGACCACAGATGGTGGGTGTAGTGACCACAGATGGTGGGTATAGTGACCACAGAAGGTGGGTGTAGTGACTGTAGAAGGTGGGTGTAGTGACTGTAGAAGGTGGGTGTAGTGACTGTAGAAGATGGGTGTAGTGACTGTAGAAGGTGGGTGTAGTGACTGTAGAAGGTGGGTGTAGTGGCTGTAGAAGGTGGGTGTAGTGACTGTAGAAGGTGGTTGTGCTGACTGCAGAAGGTGGGTGTAGTATATGCTGAAGGTGGGTTTAGTGACTGCAGAAGATTGGGGTAGTTACTTCAGAACGTGGCTGTAGTGATTGCAGAAGGATGTTGCGGTGACCTCATTAGATGGGTGTAGTGACTGGAGAAGGTGGGTGTAATGACTGTAGAAGATGGGTGTAGTGACTGGAGAAGGTGGGTGTAATGACTGTAGAAGATGGGTGTAGTGACTGCCGAACGTAGCTGTAGTGACCACAGAAGGTGGGTGTATTGAATGCAGGCTGTGGTGTAATGATTGCATAAAGTGGGTGTAGTGACTGCAGAAGACGGCTGTAGTGACTACAGAAGGTAGGCGCAGTTACTGCAACAAGTGTGTGTAGTGACTGCAGACCAAGGAGAGGTCTACAAAATGAGAAGCACTTCTTCACTTCGAGTGCACTCATGAACACTTCAAGTGCTCTGAACAAACGACTAAGTGCAGTTCTGGCTCTGGCGCTCAAAACTACAAGGACTGCACCGCAACTGCCAAGAAATGTGCAAACTGTGAAGAACATAACACCGCCACCTCCTACTGCTGCGCAAAAAGGAAAGAAGAACTGAAGACGCTTAAGGAGAAGGTCACACGCAATCGACCACCCAGAGGCAAGTCGCTGTGCCATTCGATCTTGAACCTGACCAGTTCCCGAGCCTCTCTTCAACAAGCCAGATGCAGACGACATCAGTATGGAATGGGCACCTCAGCAGCAAGACACGCAGAAACCAGGAATGCTAATATCCACCAAGGGCATCCACGTCCAGGTCATCATTGCATATGCAGAGAGTTGTGAAGCAAGACAATGATCTGTTCCTCACAACAGTGAACTGCAGAAGTTCACTGTTCATTTGCTCTGGAAACAAACGGCCACGTCAGCACTGCTACCACTGACGAAACCCGGAAAATCAACCACCCAAACAGACGCTCCAAGGACGATGACTACTGCGGACACCCATACGGATGCTTCAAGGACGATTACAACTGCGGACACTCCAGACGAGCGCTCCAAGGACGATGAAAACTGCGAACTCCCAGATGGACGGTCTACGAACGACGACAACTGTGGACACCCAGACGACGCCGACTGCGGTTCACAACACAAAAAAGGAGAAATACTGGCAACTCAGGACGAAGAGGACTACGCATCTTCAAATGAGCGTGTGGGCGATGAGGATCTCTCCGGCGAAGATGAGAATGATTCGGAAGATGCAGTCTCGGAGCCTCAAAGGGTACGAACACCTATGTTTGAGGGCCACGATGCACCTGGCATTTTGGACTTAACGACAGGTCGATACGCCGCTTTCAAAAATGGCCAGACTATCACCATCGACTTACCGTGGAATATGTTCGAGGATCTCCCACAATACCCTACTCTGTCGCCTGTGGACACCCTTATACGGACACGAGTCCTAAACAAGAACCCGAAGAACGAGAAAAAATAGAGCCCTGAGGCCGTCCCTGAGATAGTGATACAGCAGTAGAATATTAAACAAGGACTTCTGGCTGCTGCTCGGACCTCTTAACCCGCCTCTGGTGCTTTGTGCAGTGTGATTGATTCTGCTATCTATTTAAAAATCCTCTCCTGACTGCTGGGTTAAGCTCGGACTCTACTCTCAACGACTACGAAGCTTCCACTCCAAACTAGCCTTCAAAATGCCCCCCTTCCCAAATTCCATCCATCCACAGATCTACAGTATAAGCTACTGGTACTGGTTATGGCTTCAAACAGCCTCCACTTACGGGCTATTCATGCCCATCCCATTAAGTCACTGGGGAGGTTTAATCCAATTGATAAGGATTAAACCTCCCCAGTGACTTAATGGGATGGGCATGAATAGCCCGTAAGTGGAGGCTGTTTGAAGCCATAACCAGTCAAGGTGGGTGTTGTGACTGCAGAAGGAGGGTTTAATTATTCGTCTACCTGTCATTTATAAGTCAAAAGCTCTGAGTCAGGACTACCAATGCCTGGGGGCTTCCATACATGTGTGTGTGTGTCAGACAATGAATATGTTCACCAGGTAGAAAGCGCACTGTACAGTGTGGAAAATTGCTGAAAAGAATTACTGGATTTACATAATAAAAACAGCATCAATATTTAATTTGAATACAATTAATTGTAATGTTAAGCTTTGATTATGTATGTAATTATTTTATTTTCAAATCAGTGAATTGATATTAAAAATGATTTCGTTAAAATGCATATAAATTGTATTACGCATAAACTTTATCAGCTAATAATGCATATTTTACATATCTGGTGGGCGTAGGGAAAAATAATATATCCTCACGCAACAAATTGGCAATAGTTGATTAGGAATACAATTTAATTTTAATTTAATAAGAAAATTTTGTAAATCTCAAGAACTGTGCTACTTTGTCAAGGAAACTGTACGCAAATTTGAGAAAATCTGAAAAAATAAATAAGATAAATGAGAAAATCAATAGATGTCGTAAAGAGGAGTCGAACCTACGTTCTGGGTATTCCCAAGCAAACGACTTACAACACGACAAAACAAGCAAACGCCTACACTAGTGGAGTAGTTGTCTAAGGCGTTTACTTGTGAGTACCCAGAGCATAGGTTCGAATCCTATTCTCGGTTCCTGTTGATTTTCCCATTTATAAACAATATTAATGTGATTTCTTTTTGTGCACATATTTATTCTATAAATTTCTTCTAATTGCCATTTTGAGTACACCAAGCACTTACAATTCCTTGTATCTCAGGGACCACAGAGGAGGTGAACACTGAACGGATGTGTCAACAGCTCTTCTCTTCACAAAGTGTTTTGATGCCTGGCGATGATTGCTAGCTAGTGTACGCCATTCTGGAATGCGGAGATATTTTCCTATATGGCCACCAAGATGGTCACCAGGAAAAAATCGACGTGTATTGGAAAATGGTTTATATTTCGGGAAGGCTATTTCTAGCAAAAAACTACAAAAGTCTAGGAATTTGGTACTGTTAAATTTGTACAAACAGGAAAAGGTTGTGTGTTTATTTTGCTAATAAAATTTAACCTTTGCTAACCTAACTATCCTAGGCCTAATACAAGCTATCTGAAGCATAATAGAGTGCATATATACGTTAAACAAAGCCTAGTAATATTTTAATTTCGTTTTAACTTTATTTTTCCGGCCATTATTGAGTGAATAGTAAGAAATTTTAGTACCTGATTGTTCATTACATCAATATATTCACAAAGTTCCACATAGTTACAAAAAGTACAATCTGAAGAGGAGAATGAGTTGAGGAAAACAAAAAAAAGCAGCGAAGATTTGGACTAGAATCATTGACGTCACCCATTCTGTCATATATAATAATTTATGTATACAAGAATGACTGCAAGCAAAATCCACACACACACACACACACACACACACACACATACACACACACACACACACACACACACTCTAGTAAGTCACTAGAGACGGGAGACCTACCAGAAATATGGAAGACGGCGAATGTGGTCCCAATATACAAAAAGGGCGACAGACAAGAGGCACTGAACTACAGGCCAGTGTACTTGACTTGTATACCATGCAAGGTGATGGAGAAGATCGTGAGAAAAAACCTGGTAACACATCTGGAGAGAAGGGACTTCGTGACAAATCGCCAACATGGATTCAGGGAGGGTAAATCCTGCCTTACAGGCTTGATAGAATTCTATGATCAGGTGGCACAGATTAAGCAAGAAAGAGAGGGCTGGGCGGACTGCATTTTCTTGGATTGTCGGCAAGCCTTTGACACAGTACCGCATAAGAGGCTGGTACATAAGCTGGAGAGACAGGCAGGTGTAGCTGGTAAGGTGCTCCAGTGGATAAGGGAGTATCTAAGCAATAGGAAGCAGAGAGTTACGGTGAGGGGTGAGACCTCCGATTGGCGTGAAGTCACCAGTGGAGTCCCACAGATTGAACAGATAATTTCACAGGCTTGATTAGGTGTCACTAGATAATCACAGAGTACCTAGGAACGCAATTGCTATTAATAATTAGCACTGTCAATTATACAAACATTACCTAGGAATTAAGGTTTAATCTCCCGGACAGGCCCCCATTTGTTACCACCCTTGAGACTAAATAAGGTTCTTCTCCCCGCAGTGTTAAGAAATTATATTAAATCGGCCTTGCCAACATAAGTCTAGGGGGATATAGATACATCACTGCATAAAATGGAAAACAATATATTTATGTTAAGGGGGACAAACATAACAATTAAATGGTAAAAATAATAGCCAGAAATATTCTTTAGCATGCAATATCATAAATAAAACTTCTTATTGAGACATGAGCAATATCACCAGCACATGGATTAATAAATGGGATATACATAATCATCTAACCAGATAATTAACCTAATATGTGCTAAAATAAGTGACCAATGACTTAACTTAAAAACATGACTCCTCTCGACCATAGCCGCCACGCTTCTGCCCACATGTCTGTTAGCAGGCTAAGCCTCTACCATAATAACAACTAAACATCCACATAAACATTGTGGAAATTCTATTAACAAAATGTATTACTAATATTCAAATCATTATTAATCTTAAGAGTATTAAATACTGGTACAATACTCAATATAATATAATGGCAAACAATAATAAGAATTAATCAAGGTTGAACTATAAACACTCGCTTGACAACAATGTTCCCACACTGGCCACATCCAAATATGATCAACCGTCCACATGAAAAATCTAGCACAAAAGCCTCATACAATATAATGCAACTCAGGCACACTACAGCATGCTATAATATATAACATACAAGAATCTCATATCATACAACTGGATGCTATATTAATTAGAGAACAAGACAATAAAGTAATATAAGAATCAAGAGTAATGTTAGAATCCTAGTGAGATTCGTAACATGTACAACGGAAGTTTCACTGTTAAGGAAGGTATTGTGTGTTCACTGAATAATGTATGGTATGTTCACTGAACAATGCAGTTATGGTATGTTCACAGTATTATGGAAGTATGGTGTACTCACTGTACAACGGAGATATTGTGTGTTCACTGTTCAACGGAGGTATAGTGTGTTCACTGCTCAACGGAGGTATGGTGTGTTCATTGTTCAACGGAGGTATAGTGTGTTCATTGCATAAGGAAGGTATGGTGTGTCCATTATGTAATGTTTGGTGTGTTCACTGTTCAACGGAGGTTGGGTGTGCTCACTGTAAAGAGGTGGTATAGTGTGTTTATTGTACACGGGTGGTATGGTGTGTTTACTGTACAATTATGGCATAATATGACTACAGATCACATATAGTATTGTAACAAGGACATAAATAGTTAGGAAATATTTGTGTATATCAAATATCGTTGAACTCTATCTTGAGTAAGATCTAATTACATTATACCGCCCTCTGACGTTTCAATTACCATAAATCTGAACATTCACAGTAAATTAACCAAAAGATATACTGGCAAAGCTTTCGTCAAACACAGCCAAGAAATAAATCTTGGAATTATTTCTGAACTTAGGTAATCCGGACGCTTCAGGAGCACAGTTAATCGGAAGATATATGGAACCCTGCTACGCTCCAATGGCTCCAGGGCTCCAGCTACAGGATGAAGGGTGTGGGTCCAGCGTTCTACAGCGGAGACGACGCTCACATCTAGACAAGACGTTGTGACCTAGATTCGTGGCTTTAAAACGCCGATATGACGCCAGAATAATATTACTGACATATCTATGTGTTCAGTGGCTAAACCTTATGTATGGAGTCAGTGGGTGATGTGTGCCTCAGATATAGTGTC